AAAATAAGCTGAATACATTATTTACCAAAACAATTTTACCGTACAAATTAACTGTTTAAATTATTTATACAACATTCAAAAATATATTTTAACTTGCATTATAGGAATAATCAGAGAGAAGACACTAATTAATTAAGAAAATTTTTAACTTTCTTCTAAAATATGGATTTTACCTAGCAATATCCGGCCAAAACAACTTATTAAACTTTTAGATATTAATCTATTATCATATCTACTAACAATGTAATTAGACTATTTACAAGTTAATTATTTACATGCATCCAGAATGGTTAACCTGACGATGGTTTCGCCAGGACCCATTAGCTCGTCAACGGAAGGGACGCTAAAAAACCCCTTTTTGCCCTCTGGAATGGGACAAAGACTACCGCGTCTCACTATAACATAATGAGCGACCTGCCCTAACATGATCCAGAATCATATAACCCCCATAAAACTCATATTCTAGAATAAGTAGGACGACTGGTAATCCATTACACTCAAAATTATACTTAGTAAGTCCATGGAACGACACTTCATATAATCCTGTTCTTTTCTTACTCCAGTCATCAAACTTTCCTAACTCATCTTTAAATCGTAGAGTTAACTTTTCTGGAATTAAAGGAACTTCTGAAATAAAATAATTACCATGCTTTTCTCTGCTGGATTTTACTCCTATGAACTCAATTTGAAACTTGAGAAGTTCTTTCTTAATATCTATAAGATTAACTGTATGAGTTTCTACTAGAAATTCTGTTGTCACTAATTTTTCTTCAAGGGTTTCTTCATCTTTTCTTAAGAGATTTTCTGATTCAATATCAATTGAAGAATTACTTTTGCTAAGCTCTTCAGTAACAATTTGCTTCTCATCACTTTCTGAGTGACCAATAGTAGTTTTCTCAGCCAGTTTAGTTTCTTGAACTTCAGTTATATTTGCAATAATTTGGGTTTCTAGGTTATCACAATCTTGTTTCAAAATTTCCTGTTCATTATTAGAACTTTTTTCATCCAGTGTAGTTTCTTGGACTCCAGTCATATTTGCAATCATTTGGGTTTGCTTGTTTTCAATCTCATGAAGAACAGTCATTATTTGTTGAAGCATACCACACACATCAGCACAACTGAAATTGTTGCTACTATTTATATCTATTTTTTCACCCTCCATATTATTTTCACTAAACTAATTTATTTTATTTAATCCCAACAGACTTTCACTTCCGTTTTCACACTGTCTATTTTCATCAAGTAGGCTTTGTACAACTGACTCTTCCTTATTTTCTACACTAACAACATTCCCATTAGATTTTCTAAGAATTATATTATTAAGATTTCTAACTTATCTCTCTCTGCTTATTCTCCATATTAATTAAGAAATTATTAACAAAAAAAAAATAAAATTAAAATTAACAAAGATTGCGTGTTCAGTTGTCGTGACTACATACGTTTTTAAAAAGCCACGCTAGTTGGACGCCATATTGTGACGTACTCAAAGCCAGCCGTGGCGCCAGGTAAGCCCAACAGAAACCAAACAACGAGTTTTCTTTTTGAATATATATTTATTTTAACACATATAACATTAATCTCAGGTTGGGTTCTGACAACTGAACACTCATTCAACATTTAATAACTATAATTTACTAATTACTAAATACATATAAGAAACGAGATACATACATTATACAGAAATTATACATTTAAAAACCTTTACTGTCCCAGTCCAAACTTTGTGGCTGCTTCTATTCTCTCAGCTTGCTGGCTTCCCTCTTGACAGCTTGTCACATCTTCTCTTGACGGCTCATGATCTTCTCTCTTAGCCGCTAGCACCTTCCCTCTTGGCGGCCCGTCGCAGTCTCTGTCACATGAGCTTGCTTCCCCCACTTCTTCCCTGTAGTTCATCTTCTTGCCACTTTCGCGCCACTATTTATATACCATGTAATGTTGACATTACAATATATATATATATATATATATATATATATATATATATATATATATATATATATATATATATATATATATATATATATATACGATATATTTTTATTTCAATTATTCTCCCTTATTACTCAACAGTTATTTTTCTTTTGAATTTTCCATCCACTTTCGTTCAATTTCCCATAATATTTCTGAGTAATATATCTCTCGTCCCTATTTACGCTTCCGGTGCTTTAGAAATGACGCCACATACACATCTCTTCTCTCTTCTCTTCCCCCTCCCTTGCTACGACTTTTATTCTCCCTGCAACACTTATGGAGACAGGTAGTACTTCTTTTATTTATTTCTTATTTCAGCTTTCTCAGCTTCTTCCCTCCTTCCTTTCATTCCTTTTCTCTGTTTTTAACTCTTTATTATATTATACATTGTCTGTACATCTTGATAGACTTTACAATATCTTAATTTTCTATCTAACTACCCCATTCTCAATGTCTTAATTTTACTATTTATTTTCATTTCTTATATAACTTCATATTTCTTTTCTATGGTTTACATTTTATTCTAAGATTCCCATTTTAACACTTATGTCACCATTTTTGTTTATGCTTACTTCATCATTCCGTACTTTGTAACGGTTATTATTATTTATCTCTTAGTTCTTACTATTGTCATTATTCTAACAATTTCATTTTACTTTATTTATTTATTTTTTTTCTTTATTTTTTTTACCACTACTTATGTTTCTCATATCTTGTTATCTGGTTATTTACTTAGCCCTGATGAAGGCCTGAACTTCAGGTCGAAACGTCGCCATATGTAAAAATAAATATTATCATTTATTTTTGCCTTCTTTTTTGACTGACCACCCCAACTATTCTTCTCTTTGTTATTCATTTAGTTTTTTATTTACTTTACAAGAACTCAGTTTCAGTACATTCTATTCAGGCTCTTTTTATGGTAATGAATAATAACAATTAAAGCTTGACATTGAAAATATCGAATGAAAGTACTGATTTTATTTCATATTTTGGGGACATTTATCTATTAATGAGTTCTAAGAACTGGCAAAAATACAACTTAGTAGTTCAGAGTAGTTATCTGATTTACTTGGGTGTGACCACAGGTATGTTAAAATGATTTTATCTTCTGGAAAGAGATTTATCTTGACATGGGTTTTTGTTTCTAATATTCATTGAAGCAACTAAGAGCTTATTCATTTAATTTAAGAACTTTAATCTAGTAAACATTTTATATTCTAGATAAACCTCATCTGAACACATAACTTTGGTCAATCGGAAAGCCATTGCATTTTTTGCGAAAATTTAAATTAAAGATGCGAAATTTGACGTTTCATTTAACGGAAGAACATATGGCTGAAATTTTGATATGTCATGAATATGTTAAAAGAGAATTCACTTTAACTGACGATGTACTTTGTTGCATTTTGATAACTGATGCCTCAGAGTCATCAAATTAGGCCAGTTGGATGGTAGTTGGATGAGGGAAGAATTCAAATAGTCAGTTTCTCTTTAGTATTTTATGGTTTTTGGGATGCTGAATCTGAATTTGCTATTCCCGAACGAAAATTGCCATTGTGTTCTGAGGTATATGCAAAAAAACAGTGAAATTTCAAAACTTTTCTTGTTTTTTTGCCCATGACTCCAAAACAATGCATTTGAAATTATTATTACATTCAAAGTTAAATAAGATAAAATTTACTATCATTTTTAAACATATCTTTTTCATGTAGGTCCAGCAGGTGAGAAGTTAGAGAATATCGATTGTAATAAACAAGAAATATCAGTTTTCCCCCCAAAACTCAAATTCTATGCACCTCTCGAAGAAATTCATTCAATTCAATTTGAAAGAGCATTAAATTTCCTATGTACCTCATGTAGACAGACACGTTAATATATGAGAGGGTTAAGTGGCTTTAAAGTGCATGGAATATAAGGAATATTTCACTCGTTGATATTGAAGTCTCTCATGCCAGCAGAATATATAAAAGCTATGTAATTTGTTTATACATAAATTAATATAGTTAAATTAGCTAAATCAAAAGCCTTGAGAATATAAAAAGCACTTATGTTGAGAGTGGCAGATTTATGATTGAAATACCCCTTCGATTCCATGCCGCTTAACCCTTTCACATATTAACATGTCTACATGAGGTACATAAGCAATTTAATGCTCTGTGCACTTTACAATTTAATGGAGTGTGAATGTGATCTCTGAACACTATTATAAATGTCCTTTGAGACAGATTGTAATATTTTTCAATAAACAAGTTATAAAAAAAAAAAAATAATAAAAAATGCTCTTTCAAATTGATTATAATGAATTTATTTGAGAGATGCATAGATTTTGGAGTTTTGGGGGGGGGGGCCGACGAAAACAGATATTTCTTGTTTAATAAGTAAATAGTCAATATTCTTTAACTCCTCACCCGCTGGAACTACATCTAAAACCTATGTTTAAAATTGATAGTCAATTTTATCTTCTTTAACTTGGTGTATAATAATAAGTTCAATAAAATGCATCGTTTCGGAGTCATGTCCAAAAAAAAAAAAAAAATAATAATAAAGAGAAACTGACTTTGAATTTTTTCTTCATCCAACTACCATCTGACTGCCCTAATGTGATGGCTTTGAAGTGTCAGTTTTCATAACGCAACAGAGTACATCATCAGTTAAGGTGAATTCTCTTTTAAGGACATATTCTTGACATCATATCAAAATTTCTGCCCTATGTTCTTCAATACTATACAATTAGTCTTTTCAATACTACCAATGAATACAATTTTTGTAACGTCGTAATTGGTAGTCTTACTGTTGATTTGTTTGATTTAAATTAGTAATTTATATTTACATCATATTTCATGCTATCCTACAAGGTCCATTAATTTAATTTATGTTAGAGAGTGAACTTTATCTCATAATAGTTTACTATTTATTATTGTAATTTTTTTAGGTTACCACTTATATGAGATATATAATGTTTATATTCAAAATTAATCAATTTCTTAATATTATTTTAATTTTTGTACTTAATTTGGTAATATCCACAGCCCTGAACAGCTTTGGATACTGAATCCATACAGACTGATTAAGACTAGGGAGCCGGAAATAACTAAGTCAAGAGGTGAGGAAGAAACTGAAAGGGAAAATGGAGAAGTTTGTGAGCGCATTTCTCTTAAAGGTACTGTTCAGTCTCTTTTACTTTTTGTTATTTGGTCATCATGCACTGCTTGAACCTGGCCAAACCATTTATTTAACTCTCTACTGTGAAAAACTAGTGCAATCAAAACAGAAAATTCAAGAAAAGGGGTCAGAATTGATTAACACGTTACATGCGGTAACAGTCCCTGGGTTCCGATATTCTTCTCGACTTCAACAGGATTGTTTCAAATTTTGTCTATCTTATGAAGTCTCTAAAATGGTCAATTTTAAAAATATTTGAATGGGAGTTGGATAGATGTAAAGATAGATACAAATCTAAATAATCATTATATATAATAATAATAATAATTTGTTTTCGGGGAATGCCCCATACAAATAGAATTGGCTATAACGGTTACAATGAACAAATTAATATGAAAAACATTTACAACTTATGTACAAAGTAAAATTCATTAGGATTCAGTGACAACATCCACTCCTGATAACAACCAAGCATCTGACTATATGCCTAAATATAAACAATGAAATATAATATAATACCCCACATAATACAATAATTCAAAATAATACATCTAAATATAGCGAGCAATAAAATGACAAATAGTAATAAATAGCACTAGTAATAAAGATAAATACAGGCATAGTATACAATATATAACATATAAACATGTCAATAGTAAATAGCAAATGATACAATAAAACACGATATGCATATAAATATGTTTCATGCATGAATAATAAATACCACAAGCAGAACAAAGTAAATAAACTTCAAAGTTTTGGAAAAATATATGTAATGTTATTATTCATTGAAAATAAAGGACCTCAATCTGCAACATTGCCTCGTGTAATAAAACAGGTTCTTGAGGAAGACTTCATTGTCAGTTTTGAATAATTCCAAATAATTCGCCCTGGTCATGTTAATGGAATGAGGTAGGATGTGTTGACGGAAGTGAGCATAAAGCGGTCATCGGAAAAAAATATGAAAAAGGTTCTATAATTCATTTAAGTTACAAAGCGTGCAAATTTCTTTTGGTCAATTTAATATTATAATTGCCAGATAACCTAATCTGTGTTAGTGTTTTGGAATGGGGCATTTAATACGAGATATGGCTTTTGGGATTCTGAAAAGTTTGAGTCCTGAAGTTCTAAATTGACATCGGCAACCACTTTCACTCTTCATTTGTTTCACACCAGCCAGTCGGAAAAAAGTGATTGGCTTTGCATTTTCATTATTCTGGTTTGATGTATTAGAACCCTCTCGTTAAAAAAATTCCGTTTTCTTATCTTTATTTCTCATTATCGTAATGAAAGGAGATCTTAAAGTTAATGATTGGACAGATATTAAATTTTTAGCAATTTTTTAAAAGTTCATTTTATTGTCATGGATTGTTTAAGATTCTCATTGCCATACCCATGATAAAAGAAAATGACTTGATCAAAGCTTGGAAAATTTAATATATCAGGAAAAGCATTTTATGTTCTCAAGACGTCAAGAAACAATTTTGGTGCTGCATATGTCTGTTGAGTGAGTGGAGGGAGTAGCTCAGTGATAAGTTACCGAGCTTCCAATGCTAAAGACCCCAGGTTGGAATCCTAGCTCATGGCAGAAAAGTTATTTATTCTGTTACATTGGCCATGGGGTGACCTTGGGAAAATAGATCCTCCTGGGGCCACACCCAGCCTCTATAAAATGGGTACCCTTAATTAAGGGGAAAACCTGGTGGTTGTATGTGATTTCGGTCAAATCACTTCTTTGCACAACTGTTGACCAAGAAACAATACTTTCCTTGATTCTATGGGGTTTCCTCTTAGGGAACTCGTTTCCAAGTTACAGGGCCATCGATAGTAATTTGTTTCAGTTTTTGATAAATTTGGTAAAAATCAACGTTGGTTGACCGTAATTTTATACATTACCACGTAAACAAATTATAAAGTTTATATACTCGTTCGATGCACAATTTAACGTTCTTCAATTTAATAAAGAATATATTTTTTGCTTTGATGCATCGATTAGGAGTTAGTGAAAAAACAAAAAAAATTGAGAAAATCTGACTTTTTTGGCTGTAAAAAATTTGTCTTTGGTGGCCCGCTTTTGCAATTGTTTTTTACATGTCTAAACCCATATATACAAGTTAAAAAAATTATTTTTCTCACATTCTTGGTAATGGATTTCCTGTGTCGATCCTCAAATTACTGACCTAATATTCTTTAAATTAGCCATTTTTGAAAGCAGCGGCTCTGGAACAGCAGATAAGGTTCTTTTTACTGAGAATAACATACACTTTCGTAATTTACAATCAAACCTTCGCCTGCCATGAGGTCAATTTTTGGGCCCTGGCTTCAGGGCTAACATAATCTAAGCCTTTTTTGTCTGAACTGACCAAATAAGGCTGAAGAAAAAAAAGTACATTAATAAATGTCATAATACACTATAGATAAATTGTTTATCTTCACATTATATGTGCACGCAGAATATGTAAGAGAAAGTGTAGATATATAGATTATATAGATAAATTGCATAGTATACTATAATATTAATTGCAATAAATAGAATAACCATTATTATTTTGAAATAGGACCCGATGATTGTTGGATATGTTATGACCCAGTAAGAGAAGACGCAGGACCTATCATTCAACCATGCTTTTGCAAAGGAGATGTGAGAAATGTCCACCACAACTGTCTTCTCAACTGGCTTATGGAGGTTTGTTTAGTTTTTCCATTTATCAATACTATAAAAATCCAATTTTTTGGTTCTATTTAAATTATTTTTTTTATTTATAGTTGTTTACAGTTGATATTATGAAGTTTTAAATAATATATATTAGGTAATATTAGACTGTTTTAAATTCTTTGATCTTCAGGTTATTTACCAATTACAGTCTCTTAAAATATTTTATTTTACATCTTAAAACTAGAGTACACTGTTTTAGTCAGTGCTTGAATAAACTTCGCTTAATCCTCTATGGCTCCCAGGGATTATCAGGCTAGTCCTTTCTAATATTTTTATATTACTAAATCTAATTACATAGCTACTCCTTGTTAATTTATGTACTAATATTGTATTTATTAAACTCTTAAGTCCGAATGAACCCATAGACAAAGAGATAGTTGAAAATTTAACCAGTACAGATAAATAATTAGTGTAAGTCATTTATACCACAGAGAGACTAAAGGAATGGAAATTATAAAAGTGCCGACACCTTATATACAGATAGCTTTTTAGTGCCACATTCAGCATATGTCTACAGGTCCCTTTTTAAGAACATTGTTTAAATTATGGGCATTTAAAAGAAAATTGTTGATGAAAGAATAAATGTTGCAATTTGGTAATAATACATACCCAACAAATGAGCCTAGTAACACTATCAAATGTTTTTATTTGTAAACTTCAGCATTTTCTTACTCAATAAGACCTTTCTAGAAATTAAGGAACAAGAAAAAATAAAAGAAATAATGGCAACACAACCCGTAAATTACAATGAAGCCTCTATGTTTGTACCAACAATAATCAATCTAATAGGTTTTCTTCCCTGTATTTCCAGAACTACTGCTAAGAGAAACACAAAACCTCTAAAGTGAAAGCAACATCACACTTGTTCTTTAATAAACTTTTCTCCTAGGAAATATAGGGTTATACCAACTAAAAGACCAGGGTTTTCTCTTCTGGCAACCCCTGGGACTAACCTTGAAATATCTGATCAAGTACTTTCCACTCCCAAAAGTTTCTATTACAATTACCCACACAAAATCACAACAGATTAAAAATATATACAATTCCTTAATTCATTAATAATGATGTAACTCATCCCATGAAAAGTAAACAGTTAAAATAATAGTCAGTCTTTCTCAACATTTGTCCAAAACAACAAGTAAATCATAAATAGCCTATCATCATATGGGGAAAAAAAACACAAATCAAGGAATAGTGACTCGATATTTTAGAATTTAATATACATATATTTCTATATTATCAATAATATTCCAACATATCAAGATCGAAAGTGATATAATGCTTTAATAATAAACTTCCAGTACTAATCAATTACATTAACATAAATGAGGTACATGTAGCGATTCTTCAAGAAACATGGTTCAATACAACAAAGAAACATAAATCTAGAAATTATTCTTTGATAAAAATGCATAGGTATAATTACTATGGTGGTGTAGAAATTATCATTGATTACTCAATCAATAGAATATAAAAGAACGATAATATAAAATACAGACCCTATATAAGTAATTACTGTGCAATAAACAAACTTAAAATATCAAATTTTTTCGTATACATTCCTGATCTGTCAGACTTAATGCCTCGCACTTTGCTAAACTTACTTCGTAGGAATGTTAGCATTGGTATTAAGAAGGTATTTTGAAACTTTGACAATCTCCTGAGATTTTGCTGCATTTAATCTTAAATTCTTTAACCTTAAGTTTGTCCTGGTCTTGAAATCATATTAACCTTTAATAATTTATAATATTAAAATAATAAAATATATATTTAATTTTTATTAATGCTGTTAATTTAATTTAGAAACCGGGCAGGAAGGATTGTCGTGTTTGTGGTGCAGAATATCGTATGACACAAAATTCCAAGATCATTAGTCCAAGTAAGTATTGAACTTCCTTTATTATAAAAATAATTTTATTATCGTTAAAGGTACTTTCTTGATTGATAAATATATTAAGTCATGTGGACTAATAAATAATCTTTTGCAAGATGATATCAATATGGAAAATATATTAATATTAATTTCTGTCAAACTTGAACCTGAGTTAAAGAAAAATGAGGTTTCATTTTTTCTCACAGTCGATATAAATAAAATAAAGGTTTTGTCTGTACATTGAATAGAATCAACCCGTTTCATGATATTTTTCCATTTCATACATTACATACACCAAAACCCCTCTTAAAATTTTGTTTATCTGTATGTCCACATTGTCCAATGAAATTTTGTTAGGGGTAAGGTCAGCAATGGCTAATGGTAGACTTTTGAAATCTTAACATTATATTTAGGTTTGCTTGACTTAAAACATAGGCTTTAAATGAAAATAAAATATTGAGTAGTACCTTCCATCATCATAGTTTCAGTATATATCCCTCCAGACAATAGAAGGCAGCCTTCACTTCGAAACCTCGAAATTGGCGTTTGCATGTAATACCATCGTCTATTTCAACTAAAAATGTGGCAGGTGACAATTGCTTTTTTTATTCCTCTTCGAGTCCTCTTATTTTCGGCATTTATGCTAAAATCATTTACCATTACTTCATCATTTACCTGAAAGTTGATACGAGATGATTCATTTCTTAAGAAGGATTGGCACTGCTTAAGTTCCACATCATTACTCACATTTGGTTTCAGAAGGTCAAATTTTGTTTTAATTTCTCTTTTATACATAAGATAAGCTGGTGATCTTTCGGTGTGTAGTCTAAAAGAAAATTGTCCATAGCATACTCGACAGATAGCCCAGATTTTAACATGCACATTTTATCTTTGAACGTACCAACAAAATTTTCTGCAGCTCCATTTGTTACTGGGTGTTACTGTATGCCTTATACCATTCCTTTTCAGAAAGTTTCTGAATAAACTACTTGTGAATTGGGGTCCTCCATCAGTAACCAAATGATCACACAATCCATGTCTGACAAATAACTTTTTGAAGATTTGAATAACCTTCCAGGCTTTCGTATTATCTCTCATGTCAAAAACTTCTGGCCATTTGCTGTGGGCATCTATGACAACTAAAAACATCCTGTTGCATAAAGGACCTAAGAATTCAGCATGTAGTCGAGACCAAGGTTTGCTTGGATAAGGCGACTACGAATTTGGAATTTTGGTTGGATTCTTTTTATTTGCTACATAGGTGATGCAACTTCCAACATAATTAACAATGTGTAAATCCAAGTTAGGCCACCAAAAATAAGATATTGCGATTTGCTTCATCTTGGTTATACCAAGATGTGATATGTGTAAATATGTAAGATGAGTCGAAGTGATTCTGGTATAATCACTCTTATTCCCCATATGGGAAATCCTTTATCCAGCGATAATTCTAGTTCTTTGAGAAAAACTTCTTTTCAATATCGGATAAAGTCTTATTTTCAGTTGGCGACACCACAGCTATTCAATTTATCACCTTGCTTAATATTTTCTCTTTCACTGATTCAATGACCACTTGTTTGTAATTCAACAAAGGCATACCCTTCTTCACATAGTTAAGAGCTGTAAATTCTGTATCAAATACTGGAGTGTGGTCATTTAAATGCAATCTTGACAAGGCATCACAGTTACCGTTTCCTGAGGACCTTACGACTTCTATACTGTAAGTGAATCCTGAAAGATAATGAGCCCATTTTTGTAATCTATTTTGAATTGTGACAGATAGATTTTTGTATTTTCCAAAAATGTATTTCAAAGGTTCATGGTCTGTCTAAGAATTATGTGAGCTCCATAGACGTAATGGTAAAATTTCTTGAAGCCAAAGATGATGGCAGCAGCTTCTTTATCAATGATTGCCCTATGCCTTTCAGTTGCTGGAATTACTTTCGACGCAAATGCTATGGGTTTTTCCTCTCCATTCTTGAATTTATGAGAAGGGATCGCTGACAGGACTAATTGTTCATTTGGATCAAACAATGTCAATACCTTATCTGACACGATTTGCTTCTTGATCCATTTGAAACTTTCCTCACATTCTTCGGACCAATACCACTTTTCTGACTTCAGCAGATCATAAAGACAACTCAGTTTATCAGCTCTGTGCTTCAGAAATGATTCATAATAATTTACTAATCCAAGAAAACTCCTTAACTGTTTGCAATCTTTAGGCCTTGGAGCACCCGTAACTGCAATAACCTTACTTTCTGCTGGATGAATTCCTTGTTTATCCAGAACAAATCCTAAATCTCCAACTTACTTTTTAAAAATTCACACTTTATTTCATTGACTTTTAGGCCTGCGACATTTAAGTGCCTAAATATTTTGGTTATGATAGAAATGTGCTCATCACCTTTTCTACATGCACAGTAAATATTATCAATCTAAATTTCAGTGTAAGGAATTTCCTTAAGTATTTCTATTATAATTTTCTGACATTCTCCGGCCCTGGACGCCACATCCTCCGGTAGTTTATTATATTGAAATAAACCTTCATCTGTAATAATCGTTAGTGCTTCTTTGGAACTTTCATCAACTCTAAATTGCATGAAGGCATGTGCCAAATCAATCTGGGACCATTTACTACGCACTTGTAATTTAATAAAAATCTATTCTTTGCTTGGCACAGGTTAACGTTTGGTAACTAAATGCGAATTGATGGTTAACTTGAAGTTACCACACACTCTAACCTCCCTATTTGATTTAAGAACAGGTACTATAGGTGTCGCCTACCTACTAACCGTCACAGGCTCTAGATTACCTGCAGAAATTTATCTTTTCGTCTTTTCTTTAAGTGCAAAAGGCATCCTATGTGGTTTCAATTGTATAGGCACTGTGTCTTTTTTAAAAATTAATTCAATCTTTTTTTCTGTATAAATTCCTTGCCCTGAACTAAATAATTTTGGAAATAATGATTTAACCTTAGCCATTACTTTCTCACTTGTCTCCTCTGAACTACAATAATTTAATTCTAGTTTGAATAGCCACAGACCAAGTATGTTAAGCCAGCTTCTTCCCAACAAAGAGAGACCTTTCCCTGGTAAAACAGCATTTTACATCACTTACTTCTTACTCATCTCATACACATTCAAATTTGTTAGCATCCCTATAGACTTCAAATCATTTTTTCCATATGTCGTTAAGGTTAAGTCAGGTTCGATCATTGCTGTATGTGAAAAATATTGATCTTTCAACTCTTTTGATATCACTGTTACATATGATCCGTTGTCTACTTGCATTGTAATTTTAACTCCGTTTATTAACAGATCAATGATCAACGGTTCCACCTTGGACTGCACATTCATCAAATCTGCATTCGATAATTCAATATCTCCTAAAAGAATTTGTTCTAAGTGAAATAAATCGTGTTCATTATTACTATCTTCTGTTTTTATGTCCTCTTCTAAATAATTTACTCTTTTGTTCCATTTTTTTAGGCACATTTTTTCCAAATGCCCCCAGACATTACAAAAGTTACTCACTTTAAATCTGTGAATACATTCTCTAGCATAGTGACGGTTAATCTGACCGCAACAAAAACAACTAATGTGTTTTTTATTGCTATTAAATAATAATGGATGTGTATTACCTTTTTTAATTAAGTCTTCTTTACACTGCATCTTCCCATAACTAGGCCGCCCCCAGTCATCCTGTGCAAAGTGTCCCAGTTATCCTCATGTAAACGAAATTCAGTTTTACAGTTCTCCATCCTATAGCTTACTGCTTTATTCTTTGTTTTAACTTGGATTACCTTTTCACTAATTTCCTTGCTTTCTTCTTTATTTTCACTTCTCAATTCCTGCACTAAAATTTGCCTTAACCTATCTACAGAATCAGCCTCATCAAAAACCACATCTAATACTTTTAGTTTTAAAATCAAGTCTTGTTTCTTTAATTCATACACCCACGAAGTACCTTGCTTCATTACTTTTATCCTCGTCGCCAAATGTTAGGTATTTGAATATTAAAACAAAACTACACTATTAGTAATCAAAACTCTTTTATTCATCATAAAAGATAACACTGTTAGATTAATACAACTAAATCACTAATTGGTATAATCGATATATCATAGGAATAATCACTAAATTAGGCAACTCTCTATCAAGACCTTCCATTATAGATCTAACATTTGTCACAGCCGATCTCTATCATAGCCTTACCTGGGCTATAATTCCAGAAACGAAAGCATTAGATATATTAGATATGGTATATTTAAAAAAACAAAAACAAATTAATCGGCAAAATACGAATATCAGCCCGGAAATACACAATTTTTACAAAAATTTAAAAATCCTCCTTTAGGTACCGCAAAACATCGCTAATAAGGAAAAAAAAAAACTATTTAATTATGCCAGATGGACCAAAATGTTTAGGCAACATTCTACTTTTAAAAATAGAAATGGAAAATAACTTTATTCTGGGACAAAGTTCCTTTAGAATAACAAAATAGAACATAATTAAAATACTACACCTGGCCAAAATAAAACAATAATTAAAAAGAGAAAGTAAAGAAAATATAGTTAAACAAGCTATATACAAAAAAAAAAAAAAAATCTATACACAAAACACTTAAAACTATGATAAAACACTTAGAGTATGTACAGTAGGAAAAATTATAATTATACTCTTTTGAAAAATAAAATAATAAAAAATACATTGAGTTCTTCTTTAAAATGAGGTGTGTTTCTGCTAACAAAGAAAAGACAAAGCTGACAATATAAAATATCAGTGTCTTTAAATAATGATTAATATGTAGACTCATCATTGTCAAATGCTAGAGGTACAGATTTAATTATATACCAATAAAAAATAATAAATAAAAAAAAAAACAAACAATAGATGCGGTCAGTGGCATTAAGAGCCGGAAAATATTGTAATATCCCTAGTGGAGTTCACAGTATAGAATAGCACTATCGTTTGATGATGACTAGAAATGTATAATATCGAAA